GGATCCTCCCGGAGCCTGCAGCCTCCCCTGCAGTGTGTGGGCATCATCTCTGCCAACCTCACCCAGTGCAAGAGACCCGACCTGCAGAATCAAGGGGACCCGGGCCCTGCTTCCAGGCTGCAGGCCCGGGGCCGGGGGCGCAGAACAAGGGCAGGGCGCTCGGCTCCAGGGAACGTGGGCAGGGAATACAGGGCCTGCCCCCGAGGAGGAGGCAGTAACTGTGATGGCCAGAACCAAAGAAATTAATAAGCAATAAAAATGTGCTTCTTGGAGGTATTTGGACCTTTTGTCTAATATGAAGCTTGTATTTTTGTAACCCGCAAATGTCACGTGGAACTGTTTGTGGAACTGACCAGGCCTCAAAGACAAAGCTCTAGCTGTGAAATTAGCTGACCTAATCGTTCTTTCTTGCTCAGAACTGGATTCAACTGCCCAGCTTATCTAGTATATTTCAACAAGGACATCTCAAAAAGGAAGAGTCAGAGCATTTTGAACGGGCTGGATTTAGGCGGGGCAATGTTAATTTTAAACCTGAAGATGTTGTGTTGCAATTTGCTTATTGGATAAACTCAAGCTGGGGCAGTAATTTATTATAATAATTTCTAACACCTTTTAACCCCATAGGATAACAGCTATAAAACAATGTTATAAATGGCTATATAAGTAAAAAATTAGCATAATTAGAATATAAAAGAACACACACGTCATAGTAACCCTGGGGAAGGACGGCACAGAAGGGTCATTGCTGTCCCAGACCCCATGGATATCTCTTACTCCCCGTGAGAGCGAGACCAGATCCTGACTGAGGGGCTTCCACCGGTATCCTTCGAGCAGCCCACTTCAGAGACGTCTGACTCCGCTGATTCAGCTTGCCGTGCATCTTCTAACCGAGGGACAACCGATAAGTTACTAACCAAGTGGGAACTCTTGGTTAATTTCTTTATCTGTTTTATTATCATCTTCAATTTTAATCTGTATTGTTATGTTGGCAACCGCTCCTCGGGGCTGCAGTGCTCGGAGCGCACCACACGAGGGCAGCACTGAGCCGGGTTTGCGTTCACACTAAGTGTGGATGCCCGATGACACGTGTGATACCCGCACTAACTACAGACACTCGTGTGCGGCGCTGTGCAAGGGTGAGAGTTGCACGCCTACATCACTATCGCCATGGACAGAGCCAGAGGGAGAGAGGCAGTAACAGGATCAGTGTTAATGAGGGTGTGTATCACACACACACACTCTATCTGCACGTCGGTGCGCACACTCCGCCGTACTGGATACGTCTCTGCACAATGCCAGTTTGCCAAAGTACGCGCGCACTCAATGACGCCGTCACTTCCGCTCCCCGTTCTCAGCTGTACACTATTTTACACCGAGGGTCCCAAACTCTCCCCCAGAATTGAGTCGACGCCCGGCGCCGCTTCCTGCACAACGACACGTTTTCATTGTTTGCTTGTTAAAGAAGGGGAATCTGGTGCTTTGCGAGGCGCTCGCTAGAGAGGTTTCAGCGTCGGCCGAGAAGCAAACGGCCCGCCCTGCGCCCCCGTACACCGCCGCCCATCGCGTCGGAGACAGGGAGGCTGTCCAGGCGGCAGGCGGAGAGGAAGGGGACACCGGGACAGACAACACCCACCGCAGGGGGGTTCCCTACCCAGTCTCTCGCACGACCCGCCGTGGTCGCCGGAGCAGCCGCCGCCGCAGCGCTCCGGGGCCGGCCCAGCAGCTCGACGTGGGCGGACAACCAGATGGGCGGGGCCGCTGAGGATCGGAGGCGGACCAATCGGCGCACAGAAGACCGCACACACCCACCCTGCACGTTAGCCAATCAGAATGCGAACAAGGTGGCCGAGCTCCTGGTCCCGCCTCCCCAGGCACAAGCCAATCAGAGCGAAGAAGGGCGGAGTGGCCATGACTCCACCCAAGAGGCCATTGCACCCAACCGCCTCACGCCTTATGTTGGCCAATGAGAACGCGAGTCTTCGATCCCGGCCCTGAATCGATGTCCGCGCGTCGTGTGTCCGCCCCGAGCAGAGCGACGCCGCCTGGCCCGGCCGCGGCACTGCCCGAGTGACCCCGAGCGAGCGAGGCCTTTGCTCTCCTGTCTCTGCCTCGATCTCCCGCCTGCCCGAGCCACTGTCCCTCTATCTGCCCTCACTCTCGGCTGGAAACCCCGACTTGAAGCCTAGGGCAATAGCACAGGGCAGGGGTTTCGGTTGAAGCGCAGGGAGGGCGGCACGGAGCCGGCTTTGTTCCGGGTCGGTATCT